GATTCCGCAGGCGGAGCAGAAAGATCTGTCTCCGTACCCACGCTGTTTTGACGAACTGGTGTTTTTGGATGAACAGTTTTAACTTTTTTCATGCAGCCATCATTGCACATTTACTCTCAAAGAAGTATATAAGAATAGATGACACGTTACGCACACGTTACGCACACGTTACGCCACACGTTACGTTTGAGTTTATATAGAATATTAATGAAAACCGACACGTTACACACGTTACGCCCCATTCTTATAAAGGTAGAATAGGTCTACCTTTAATATATTAGGCGTAACGTGTGTAACGTGTCAACTTGCTATAGATTATTATATACTGAAAGGCGTAACGTGTGGCGTAACGTGTGCGTAACGTGTTGAAATTGAGTTCTATTTAGTTTGTATGCATGTATAAGGTCTTCAAAATAATTTTCACGGAGGCAATAAATCGTTGAGTTTTCGCATAGTACTTTTATTGAATATGCATGGTCGAAGTGTGTACTTAATACATGCGTCACTATTAAGCATCTAAAACAGTTATTGAAGTCAAAAGGCTCTGCCAATATAAACGGTATAAATAAGGAAAAACATTGTAATATAGAAACATTTAATAAATTTAATACTTTAATCGTTCTCTTCGTTTCTCACTGATCATTGCAACACGTTTGTTCATCGATATAATAATTCAGTTCATAGTACTTTTTGACAAGTTCATCGTCGTGCTTTTAACTCTTTCGGAAAATTGTTCAAACTTTTCTGATGTGATCTGCTTGTGAATGGCATCTTGTCCTAACTGTTTTGATACTCAAGCGGGACGCGTTCAATTCATCAACTTTTTACGGTCATTTTTTTACGGTCATCAACTTTTTACGTCATTATGACGTCACAATTTTACACACTGTAGGGAAAATCCTTAGGCACACACCAAACACATAGTAACAGTAAGCAAAGGCTGTTATGCTTCTTATTTACAGCTGCAAAGCGAAATAACCGTATTAAAATTATCATTACTCGAAACTACATAGACAATCGCGTGAAAAAATAATGAGACACTTCACATTTTGGTGATCTTTTTCACGTGCGTGCCCCCCTCCACCCATTAACAATGTTGAAAACATATTATTTGATAAGCCCTGACCTCAAAATCGTTTTAACAACATTGCACAAGGGGGAGGGGGAGCAAGAACCATTGTTACAGGAGGGAGAGGGCCAATAAACTGCTTGTCTCAACAATTTTTGCACGCGATTGTAGCTTGGATTTGGATTAGGTTCAGTATTGTGTTGAAGATTAATACTTGGATTAGGATAAGGCTTAATAAGCTTGATAAGGCCAAGGCCTTTTTGAAAATTTGAAAGAAATTTCAATTTTGAAAAGTGGAAACACTGCTTGCGAAAAACAAATTTCGATAATTACGTCATTTGGCCTAGTAGCGTCGCTCTCATGAATCGTGAGCCAATCACCTTGCGTAATTTACTAATGAGAGCGAGGCTCCAAGACCAAAAAGTATGTATGACGTAATTATCGAAAGGGTGTATTGGCAGCCGTTTCTGTAGCGAATTTCATAAATTTTCATTCATGGCTACAATTTTAAAGAAATTATAGCCACACTATTCATTTGACACATCCTTTTAGTACAAAATCAGAATAATAGTCAGCAACATACTCCATAGTATGTATAATATAAAGACCAATGGTGTATATTGCTACAAACATTACCTCGCCAGTCATACTTCGAACCCTCCCATCTTTAGTCAGTGGGGATGAACCGTCTCAAAAAAGACAAAAAAGGGTAATAAAATGTTTTTGTAATAATGGGGGGAGGGTTACTGAAAAGGGATGGGTTGATTTAAAAAGGGGGGATGAACAAAAAACTGTCATGACGATTGCTGAGCAATACGTTTTTTCAACTAATTTGCACGAGATCCACCCACCTTTTGGGTTGTCTGATCCAATAAGCTTATCCAATAAGCTTTCTCAACTGGCAATATTACAGCCTTTAAATTATATCGTAATAAAGTAAACAAAATGAGGAAAATATATCGCATTAACTACACCCAAAGAATGGTGGGAAAAAGTCAAGAGCATATGTGGGGCGACTTCATCCTCCGGTCTCAACAGCTTGGTTTCACATTTGCAAGTTGACAATTTTGACCAAATGTCTCCATCTGATAATGCAAATACAATTAACGATAGCTTCCTGGATCCAATGAAGAAGTATAGTCCCCTTAAACTTAACTATTTTAATATCTCCATGTACATTTTTCTATTTTTCACACGCCCCCCCCCCCTCCCCCCGTGGAAATCAGCTTCGGTTGATGGGGTCAGCGTGTATAAATAAAGTCTCTATCTATCTACTGCATTTGCATGAGCATGTTATCTATCAACTGCACTTGCATGAGTATGTCTAGAATGAAATTCCTAGAATGAAATTATGAGTTAAACCCACGCGTTATATCGCTGGTTTTTGCCTCGGTCAAAGACGTCCGAAATTAGTTTCAAATTTTCTTATCTATATGATCGTTCTCAGAAAAAAACACGGCCGTCAAAATTGGTTGGTTAATTTTCCCATGGGTTTATTAGGAAAGTAACAGATAATACTTGTTGTACAACAACAGATGATCTGACAAAAACACGCGACGATATTTATTGTGTGGTATAGGTCCTCGATGAGAAACCGAATAGAGTATTTAGGGTGGCTCAATACAGTTCTTAAAAAATGGAAAATTCACGATTTAGATGCGTATTTTTGGACAATTATTACTTGTTGATAAACAAAACGTACCTTGCTTACATAAAACAACATCTGAATTTTTGCACAAAAGTTACGCAACTGCCGTTGCTATGGCAACAATGACGTTTCAAGATCGTATCGTATCGTATCGTAAAAATTTATTTCAAGACGCTAGCCTCATCTACATATGTTGGTTTTCACGAGGGGCGTCGTCAATTTATATACAAAGTATTAATATTTACAAGAGAATAAGTAGAAACAAAGAAAAACTATTAACAAAAGTGCATGCTGAAAAACAGGAGGTGTGACCCATACATTAACATTGGTAACAGAGTCAAAGATTAATATTTTGTTTGAAGATATGGATTGATTGTGCTTCTTTTGCTTCCCGAAAAAGACTACATAAATACTTTAAAGTGTCAGGAACCAACAACAGGGTTAAAAACCCCAATAACAGTGGCCCAAGCTTTGCCCCGCTGTATTTAAAACTTTTTTGGGGAATTCCTTTCTCGCTCGGTTTTGGGAGAGCTAAGTCAGTACAGCTATTTCTTAAATTATGATTCGCTTGTGTTAAACTACTCCCAGTCAGTGACTCTTTCAAGTTAGGAGCAGTATAATCGTTTAGAATTTTATACAGAAGAATGGACTTCATCTTCTGTCTTCAACTTTTTAAAGTCTCCCAACCAAGAGTTTCACGAACAACAGCAGATTCAATTTCGTAACTTGCGCCAGCAATTATTCTTGCCGCACGATTTAAAAATTTTTGAAGTTTATCACGCAGTTGTGTGCCGCCAATGTCCCATAGTGGAGAACAGTAATCAAAATAAGGTTGAATCAAGGCATTAGAAATCATTTGGAGTGAGCTTACTGGAATGAAATTTTTAGCTCTTCGCAACATTGCAATGCCATATTCAACTTTTTTCAATACCTTTTCGATCTGTTTATCCCATTTAAGGTTTTCATCTAGTAATACGCCTAGACATTCGAAAGAGCTAGTTCTACAAAGAGGTTTGTTGTTCAAGAACACAGGATAGTCGTGAACTTTATTGGTTAGATTATATGAGGGTGGTGCTGCAGTTTGTTACTGGCGAGCCAATCACTGATTTGTTGTAGGTCAGAATTTATATAAGTTATAAGGTACTTTTTGTTTATCGACAAGTAATAATTGTCCAAAAATACGCATCTAAATCGTAAATTTTCCATTTTTTAAAAAACTGTATTGAGCCACTTTAAGTATGATAGTGATTCAGCATATTATGTTATTCGAGGCATTCTCTTCGCCATTACACTTACCAGAAAACTTTAAAAAAAAAATTTAATTGTAAACAGTTGTCGTATTATATTGTAATGTGTCCGACAAATTTGGCAATAAAAAGATTATTATTATTATTATTATACGTCTTTATTAAAAATTGAAGTTGCAACAAACGTGCATCTTTACAGTGCATATAAGATATATATAAATATATATATAGTAATTATTAAAACGTTCAGTGCATATGAGAAATGTTAATTAGATTATTTACAAATTTAGTATTATTTCTAAATTAAATTATTTACATGCATTATAGTTAATATTATATATCGTATATAACAAAATTTTAAAACAAAAAGTCATTAAAAAGACATTTGTTCAAAAATGATTGTTTAAAACGTTCTGTGTAAACTTTTGGTAACATAAATTGATGATCGCGTTCTCTTAAAGGTCGTCGACGTTCTTCCGGTAACAATTCATATAGGCAATGTTCATGAGGATTGTGCATGACCTTATTGAACAATAATCGATCCCTCTCCTCAATCATCTTGGCCATTGAATATTTATTCTGAGTGTATCCATATCGGAATGCACGATTGAGAAACTTATTGAATTTATCAATGTATTTCGCTTGCAAAGCCGATCCCCATACTTCAATTGCATAGTAAAATATCTCTTCTCACGAATGACCCCCGGAGACCTGGCGCAGTGTGGTCGTTAAGTATTTTATACATTAATACTGACTTGGCACCAGACCGCCTATTTTCAAGTGTATCCCAAGAAAACATGTTGAGAAGATCAGCTGAGCGAGTATCATAATTAGCACCCGTTAGGACTCTTGCTGCACGAGACTGAAATCTTTGCAACTTGTCTCTTTGCAACTTACCACAAGTGTCCCAAAGGGGGGAACAATAATCAAAGTAGGGCTGCACAAGACTTTTATAAATCGATTCTAAGGTATGCATTGGAACAAAGGGCTTTATACGTTTCATAGCGCCAATAGCAGCGCTCGCCTTCTTGAGTACCTTGAGGTACTCCTCTATTGATATTAACAAAATTGGTAACAGTTCCATCTACAGTAACTCTCTGTTTCCTACACGATATAAAATTAATGAGCCAATTGATAATATAAGGATTAAGATTTGTTGATTTCAATTTCTGTGTTAAAATATCGTGGGGGACGCTATCAAACGCTTTACTGAAATCGAAGGATATTACCCGAATGAAGTTAGCCTTATCGTCTAACCATTTTAGCCAATGATGCTGGCACTTTATCAGAGCTGCAGTAGTGTTCGAGTTTTTCCTATAAGCGTACTGGTTCTTATCGATAATCAATTTTGAGAGATGACGAATCTCTTCTTGAAATATGATCCTTTCGAAGAGTCGCATAATAACATTAGTCAACGATATTGGTCTCAATTGATCGCATTCGGTTAACGGAGATTCCTTAGGTAATGGGCTTAGATTCGCTAGCTTCCACATACTAGGTACACGCTGCTGTCTCAAAGAAGAATTTAATACATTTGTAAGAACTGGTGCAAGATAGCAGGCAAAATCCCTCCAAACCCAATACGGAATACCATCCGGACCAGGTGATGTTTGTTTTTGTCTCATCATAAAGTTTTCAACAGTTTTGATGTCAACAGTTGGAACTCGAGTTCCTTCAGGGATTGTCAATGGATCAGGTCTCACGTACTCATTATCAGTGTTTATACCTTGGAAGTAAGCATTCATAATTTCTGGATCGATAATATTACTAATATTTTCCGACCTAGATCCTCTCCCAGTAATTTGGTTAACGGTTTTCCACCATTTTCGAGAACCTTGTCTGTAATTGATTTTATCGTCATGAATGGCTTTGACTTGGTTTTCTCGAATAAGTTTATTTATCTTCTGTTGAATTAGGTCAGTATCAGCGCCTCTCATAAGTTCCCTATTTCGTACATTACACAGATGCTTAACAAGCGGGGACATAAAAGGTGGATCACGAGTCGACATTTTGACTTTAATCGTGGGAAAACACTCATTGAACATATTACAAAGAGTTTCATTCAACAACTCGACTCCTTCGTCAACATCGTCAGTGTTGGCATCGTAAATCCGGCTCCAGTCATATCCCTTCAATTTATTCTCCATTTTTATTTTTCGGTGGTACCTCACATCACGAAAATATACAAATTTTCTCTCAGGCTTAACAGGTAGCTTTGGAGTCACAACAACCGCAGAATGATCAGAGCGTACCAAACATCTAAAAACTATAGGAGCCTTCCATAAATGAGGGATATTTGTCAAGAAAACATCCAGTATCCGAGCACCTCTAGTAGGTTTCCTCACGATTTGATCAAAGTTGTGCTGAATGCAAAAGTCGTGCATGCGCAGTTGATTTACATCACCAGCAATAATTATTTTGGCATTAGGTTGCAATAACAGAATCTTCTCACAGTATTCAGATAAAAAATTAAGCAAATCAGATTCGTTGTAAATTGGCTCAGGTGGATGATACACTACAGAGACGCAGTATGAACTATTCATAGTGAGAATTTCGCACCAGATACATTCGAAATTGTTATCGAGGTCGACATTGATAATTTTCCAATCATTTCTACACAAGATGGCAACGCCACCTCCTGGCCGAAGATCGCGATCCTTACGAACTATAGTATAACCACTTGGACATACTAAAGTTGATGGGATGCACTTATGAAGCCATGTTTATGTAATAAAACATACGTCTATATTGTTATGGAGAAGTTCAGCTGTCAAATGTCAATGCTGGTAGAGCATCAGGTTTGACCAATGAACGGGTATTAATGACCATACATTTTGGAGTTATTTTAGCTTGAGGGGGTCCATCTTTGAGTATCTTAATTGTCTTCAAATTACTGGGGTTACTTTTATTTTGGTTAGGAACCCTTCTAGAATTTCTAGCAGTAATTCTAACTGGTATCGAAGCCGTTATACCATAATGTATTGATCTCGTGTTTTTACTCTTTCGAGATGTTATTCTTATTGGTATTGTACTAGCCATTATACATACGTTGAGGAATTTCCCGCGGGGGTTTTAATATTCTGCTGCACGGTAGGATTTCCCTTGCGTTCATTTTGAACCCATGGCTTACAGCGAACATGTTTTGGCCAGAAGTTTTCTCCAAGTTTTCTCGCTGTTGTGTTAATGTGACTTGGCTAGAAAACGCTTTAAGATGGAAAAATGCTTTTATACTCGTCACAAAATGTCGAGGATTTAAATATTTTAGGTTAAAATTTTTGAAATAGATTAGAGTTAGGTGAATGATTATATATGTTTAAGATTCAATGTCAAAGTTTATGTTAAGTTCATGCTGTAAGGAAGTATCAATTAGAGAGCCTCAGAGAATGCATATACATCTCCACCAGTGAATTAAGTCAAGTTATCATGCACAAATTATACAATGGACAGATGGACTAATTACGCATTCAGTTTACTCTACCCGGACAAGGAAGACAAAATTTTTGTTAATTTTTCATCTAATTTTCATCCCCGGAACCACACGCGGAGTTCATATATAGGGCGACGCCCACGCCGAGAGTATACCGCATGGCTATTTACACTGGGGAAAAGGATAAATCTGGGTAGGAACACCGCGTTTCTATCTGCTACAGGTCAGGTCTAAAATATATGTATATAATTTTCGCTCGAAATTTTCATAAATTACAAAAACCCTTCAAAAAGACGTCCTATATTTGCTAAAGTCCTTCAAAACGAGAAAATGAATAACAACAGATGTATATGTATATGAGTGCCTTCTAAATTATTCTGGCAGTTTAAATTGAATGTGCATCGCAGAACAACAACGCAAAATTATATAAAAAGAAAAGGAACTCAGTTATTGTGCAAGACAAGTCTTTAATATGCAAAAAAGTGATATTTTTAGCGTTGTAGTTTTGTGCATTATAAATATAATCTTTATGGTTGCAGGAATATTCCTAAATTCTGTGGTTATAATCAGTCTATGGAGGTCGTCGCAACTTCGAAAGCAATTATGCTACTTTATGATTCTTGTTCTGTCTTGTTTTGATCTAGCTGCAGTCACGATCACTCATCCATTCTTGATCGCATCTACAATACATTTTTCCCAAAGAGAAATTAATGAAATACGCCTGCTCACAGAGAAATCCATATATTTTGTCGTAGATGGTTCCTCGTTAATTGCGCTTTTTACGCTGAATGTTGAACGATTCCTAGCCCTGATGTATCCATTTTTCCACCAAGCATCAGTCACAAAAACAAGGCTTCTATGTTTTCAGGCATTTTGGACGGTTATAGTAGTCGGTCTATCGCCATTGGTATATTTTAATTTGAAAAAAAATGTCGATATTTTCGCATGCGTGTCAATTTCATCCCTACTATTCTTGTTCATTTATTCAAATTACAAAATCTTTATAATCGCGAAGTCCAAACACATGGACGAAAGAGTTGCTCCAACTATAGCGATGGACGAAAATAGGAAAGCACGAATCTTAAATCTCAAAAGTATTTCTACGTGTTCTTTGGCAGTTGGCTGTTTTTTCTGTTGTTCGTGCCCGTACGGTATATATGCAGCTTTACTTTCAGCATCAAAAAGGTCGTTGTCTGAGAGGCAATTTTTGTTATTTTTTCTGTGGTCAAACACGTTTATCTCTTTGAACTCGACGTTCAACTGTGTGATATTTTTCTGGAGAAACTCAATTCTGCGTCGAGAAGGAATGAAGATAGTAAACGCTTTTAGACGACGCGTTACTAACTGAGTTGAATGCTATTAACAATCTATCCGGGTATTGTATAGAAAATTCGTTCTGTATATTGATTGTTTGAAGACAAAAACCGCTTCACTAGATTGACTGCATTTGCATGAACATGTTGTTATGTCCAGAATGAAATTCCTAGAATGAAATTATGACTTAAACTCATGACGTGTCATATCGCTAGTTTTTGCCTCGGTCAAAGACGTCCGAAATTAGTTCCAAAATTTCTTATCTATTTGATCGTTTTCAGAAAAAAAACACGGCCGTCAAAATTGGTTCCTTAATTTTCCCATGGGTTTATTAGGAAAGTAATATATAATACTTGTTGTACAACAACAGGTCTTACAAAAACACGAGACGATATTTATTGCGTGGTAGATCTTCGAAACAATAGAGTATTTAGGTATGATAGTGATTCAGAATATAATGTTATTTGAGGCATTTTCTTCGCCATTATACACTTAGCAAGAAACTTTAAAATTATATTATAAACAGTTGTCGTATTATATTGTAATGTGTCAGGAAATAAAAAGATGTTCGTCTCCTTTTCTGGCTGTTGTGTTAACGTAGTTTGGCTATAGAAAATGTTTTATACAGAATGTAGAGGGTGTAAATATTTTAGGTTAAAACTTTTCAAATGGCACGATTAAGGTTAGGCGAATGATTAATTTACGATTCAATGTCAATGTCTATATTAAATTTATGCTATACAGTAAGGCTTAAGTATTAACTGGCGAGCAATCAGAGACTGCATATGCCTCCGCCAGTGAATGGCCGTTTTTATACTAGAGACGCATTATGCGTCTGGACGCATAATGACGCATTATGCGTCTGGACGCATAATGCGTCTCTAGTATAAAAACGGCCAATGCGACGAACTATCAACATTTATTGTTCGTCTGGTTACGCGTCCTCAGTATAAAGACGGACACAAGACGCATTATGCGTCTAGACGAACTATCATCGGTTGTGCGTCTTTTAAGACGAAGAATCGAACATAGTTCGTCTAGACGCATAATTGTGCCCGTCTTTATACTAAGGACGCATAACCAGACGAACAACAAGTGCTTGCCCAAGTTCGTTCAGACGCATAATGCGTCTCTAGTATAAAAACGGCCAATTAAGTCAAGACATCATGCGTAAATTATACAATGAACAGATGGACTAATTCGCATTCAGTTTACTGTGCCCAGAAAAGCGAGACAAAAATTCTGTTAATTTCTCGTCCAATTTTCATTCAAATCGAACAAAAATTTAATTAATTTGTCCTGTGCCTATGGCCATTAGCCCCACAAATTTTCGTGTTAATCCCCGAACCACGCGCGGAACTCATAGAGCGTACGTATACGCCCAGAGTATACATACCCGCGGGAAAAGGAAAAGGTGGGGTGGTTGGAACACCGCGGTCGCATCTGCTCCCGGTCAGGTCCAAAGTGTATATAGTAATTCTCGTCCAAAATTTTCATTAACAAAAACCGTGCAAATTAAGGCGCCCTACAAAACGACAAAGTATGTCATTATTGTTACCAGTTCTAGTATACAGAAGTAGAATAGAACAAAGGTAACTATTAAAGCTTTAGAGTTATCTACACGAGTGAATAATAAGTCTTGTACATAAAACTCTAATGCTTAGTTACCTTTGTTAGGCTAGTCAATGCTTCTGTAAACTAGAATAATAGTAACTAGACATGTGAGTTACCTAAAGTTGTGAATTGGGTTGCAACGATGTAAACAACGTTAGCCAAATTTGTCTTTTGCGGCCATTTTAACTGCATTCTTGGCAGGGTTCCTTGATAGGCTAATAATATACAAACCTACATTTTCAAGGTTTTGTCTGATCAGTGGAAAAGTTTAATTAATGTCCTGTGCCTATATGGCCATTAGGCCCACAAATTTCGTGTTAATCCACGAATCACACGTGCAGCTCATAGGGCAAAGCCCATGCACGCCGAGAGCATACTATAATTTCGCACGGCTATTTACACCGGGGAAAAAGGTTAAAGTTGGGTGGGAACACCGCGTTCCAATCTGCTCCAGGTCAGGTCTAAAATATATGTATATAGTTTTCGCCCAAAATTTTCATTAAAAAAACCCTCAAAAAGAAGCGCTACTATATTTGTTAAAGTCCTTCAAAACAACAAAATATTTTATTATTTTGCTTCAATGTATATAACAACAGGTGATATAAGAGTGTCTTCCAAATTATTCCGGCAGTTTAAATTGAATGTGGCAGAACAATAAAGCAAAATATTATAGGAAGAAACAGAACTCAGTTATTGTGCAAGATAAAGTCTTCAATATGCAAAAAAGTGATATTTTTAACGTCGTATTTCTGTGCATTGTAAATATAATCTTTATGGTTGCAGGAATATTCCTAAATTCTGTGGTTATAATCAGTCTATATGGAGGTCGTCACAACTTTGAAAGAAACTATGTTACTTTATGATTATTGTATTATCTTGTTTTGATCTGGCTGTAGTCACGATAACTCATTCATTCTTGATCGTATCTACAATTTATATTTCCCAAGGAGAAATTGATAAAACACGCGAGGACACAAGGAACAATATAACACTTGTTCTATATGCCTCGTCGATGTCTGCGCTTTTTACGCTGAATGTTGAACGATTCCTAGCCCTGACGTGTCCATTTTTCCATCAAGCATCAGTCACAAAAACAAGGCTTCTATGTTTTCAGGCATTTTGGACGGTTATAATAATCGGTATATCGCCATTGGTATATTTGAATTTGGAAACAATTGTCAATATTTTTGCATGTGTATATATTTCATCCCTTCTATTCTTGTTCATTTATTCAAATTACAAAATGTTTAAAATCGCGAAGTCAAAACGCGCGGACGAAAGGGTTGCTCCAACTACAGCAACGTCGATGGATAAAAATAGGAAAACACGAATCTCAAATCTCAAAAGTATTTCTACGTGCTCTTTGGCAGTTGGCTGTTTTTTCTGTTGTTTCTGTGCACACATTATATATGCAGCTTTACGCTTAGCATCAAGAACGTCGTTGTCTGACACGCAATTTTTGTCATTTAATCTGTGGTCAAGCACGTTTATGTCTTTGAACTCGACGTTCAACTGTGTGATATTTTTCTGGAGAAACTCAATTCTTCGTGGAGAAGGAATGAAGATATTAAACGCTTTCCGACGACGCGTTATACTAACTGAATTAATTTACTATCACTACTGATCTATCCGGTTCTGTAGAAAATTCACTCCGTATTAATTCTTTGAAGACAAAAACTGCTTCTTTAGATTCATTGCATTTGCATGAACACATTGTTATGACTTATGTCAAGAATAAAATTCTGAGTTAAACCCATCATATGTCGTCTTCATATGTCGTCTTATGTGCCTGATCGTAAATTAAATTATAAACTGTTGTCGTAGGCTATTATATATTGTAATGTGTCCGACAAATTTGGCAATAAAAGTATGTTCGCCTCCTATTCTCGCTGTTGTGTTGATGTCGTTTTGCTAGAAAATGCTTGATACTCGTCACAATGCTGTCAACATTGCCATTGGTTGCTTATTTTTCCCATGTGTTATAGGAAAGTAATATACATGTAATAAATACTTGATTTTTGTCTGTGTTGGTGTTATGTACTCAGGTGAATATGATGTTTGTGATGTTACTCTGAGTGTATATCCACACCGGGCAAGTTGAAAAATATGCCTGGCCACGGTGGGAATCGAACCTACGACCTTTGGAATACTAGCCCAATGACAATGCTCTGCCAACGGAGCTACGCGGTCAGGTCGGTTCGAGTATGTGATATTTCGGAACTGAGTCTAGACTCTAGTTCCTTCGATATCAATTATGCAATCTAGTAATCATGATTTTTTCTGTGTTGGTGTTATGTAACACGACGTTAATGCTAAGTCTTTTGGCTATGTCATACACTGGTCTGAAAAATAACTATTTTAACGCGATCAAGGTAGGTCTATTAAAACAATCATTTAAACAAAAGTAATGCGAAGCCAACGTGACGGCAAAGACAAGTAAAATGAAATATTGTCAGTTGGTTGCTGGTAGAAGACTTACGACAGGATCGATCTTAAATGACCTTAAACTAGAAGAATATATGTTCGCATCAAAGACAAAGATCAGTGCCAAAGTATAAAACCTGCTCTGTAAACTTACGACGAAGTGGAGAAATGCGCGAATAACTGAGCTGTTTATTTAGCGATTTCAATGTATATGACAGCCCTCTTTCCAATAATATTCGCAGAATAACACCAACTGATATAATAGTTCAAATACAATGATAAGTTACCTCTTGAATTACGTCTCAGAAACTGTGTTGGAAATGTAAATGATGACCCATTCCATAAGATTACCGTTTTACATCGTTATACAAAGCATTTTGATCGCATGTAAGGAATTATTTCTCATCCCAGAGACATAGCCCAACGACTTAACATTGACGTCCTTGTGATTTTATAGAGATACAGCCAGAACTGAGGATTTTACAAAGCGATATCGGTACCTTCGGCCCAAAGTTGTAGACAAGATATGTTGTTTACGTCTAAGACTAAGGCGCTTAAAATTACATAACTCAAAATGATCCAAGCAAAACGGTCTTTTGTTCAATGTACAGGGTGTATAAAAAAAAGGAGGAGACCTTTAGAAATCAAGCATATTGTTAAAATTTGAATGCCTTTTCAATTGCACATATGCTGAACCGTGGTGCGTGAAATATTGATGGGTGCATATATTAGAAAAAGGAGACCTTTAGAAATCAACCATTGTTATAATTTGAATCCTGGAGCACTTGGCTAAGCCCACGAGTGCGTAACATGCGATCTACGTACAGTATGCATGGCAGATTGTTCCCAGGAGCAGACAATCTTTTGTTTAAACGTTATTTCAATTTCTAAAGGTCTCCTTTTTCTAATATATGCATCCATCAATATTTCACGCACTACGGTTCAGCATGTGTGCAATTGAAATGGCATTCAAATTTTAACAATATGCTTGATTTCTAAAGGTCTCCTTTTTTTGATACACCCTGTAGAGACTGGTTCATAGGAATTAGTCATTTTGAGTTATGCAATCGTCTGTCTTCATCCATCCGTGTCGTTGAACAATGAAAAATTTGTCGTGAAATTAGTGAAGATAAAATAAATTGGAAAATGAGAGCAACGAGTTTTTACTGCTTTACGTGCTGCGTTAAATTTTTCAGCACATGATTATGTATAGGTTATTTTGAGGGGATATGTGATTTATTCACCGAGGCGCCGAGGTGAATAAACACATATCCCCGAGGTGCATGCCTCAAAATAACGTACTTATTTTTCACATTGCGAAGTCGCGTTAATGATTCAGAATAGAAATAATTCTTAATGCCATATTGCCTTCGTTATGTTGTTTTTTTCTCATTTTTTGTACTGCAAAGACATTGCAGGTGAATATTAGAGGGGATTATTAAACGGAAATTGATTAGAGGGGAATATTGAATATATTCTCCGATAAGAACAAAGGAAACCGAGCAGGGTGAAATATAAGGTTCAGTATATAGGGTGTACTGTATTCTGTTTTACGCACTCGTGGGTTAAGGCTAGTTTCCACTCATGAAAATTATCCGTACGTGGATTGGAACGGACAAGAAAATTTTTCTTTGTGTTAAAGTCATTAGTTCCAACCCAGAGCTCACAAGACAAAGAAAAATTTTCTTCTCCGTTCCAATCCACCAATAATTTTCCTGAGTGGAAACTAGCCTTAAAGCATAGTGTTCAGGCATTCAAATTTATAAAAGTTGAAGGTGAATTTCTAAAGTTTTCTTTTTATAGACACCCTGCAGAGATTAATGATCCGTATGGGAGGCCATTTTACACGAGGCAACTTTGCCTGCTATTTGCAATTCGCAGTGCTGTATACAAGTAATCATGACTTTTTACATTAACAACTGCAACGATAACTACACACGTAAAAACGCACAAGTTGTAACAAATTAAACCTACAGCAGACTTGTAGCAATGCTGTTCCAACAACTTGTCAACAGGATGTGTTCGTAGTTCGTACTGTTTGTTCCCAGCTTGTTGACAAGTTGCTGTAAGGTTGTTGAGCTCAACAGAGTTGTTACAAGTTCTTCCATAACAACTTGTTCTCGTCCTGCGATTCATCAATTTGTCAACAAGTTGTGAGTAGGGATGAGCCGATTAATCGGTAAATAATCGGCAAAGCCGATTAATCGGCCATTTTTTAAATAATCGGTAATCGGCCGATTATTGCCTGATAATCGGCCATAAGACTTTTTCTGCAGCTGCCGAGCACATGCTAAAATAATGAATACAAGGGAATAGATTTTCACATTTTGTTGCAAAAACCTGCGTCTTTTGTCTCAAAACCGGCACCTTTTGTCTCATGTGAGTGGCTTGAGGAAATCATTAAAACAGTTATGTAAAACCACCAACGCATTCCTATGCATTGATTGAGTCATACCATATTCTGTTTTCTGATTGGCTTAAACGAATATAATCCTGATATTTGTAATAAAATGCAGGGGGGGGAATTGCTTGGACGCTGTAAAAAGCACAGTTTGGACATATTTTGGAAGATAACAACAAAAGAAAGTTTGCAAGGAAAAAAGCTCTCAAATCGTAATCAGCAGACGAAGAAAAACATGCAAACAGTTCACCAATTCAACAATTTTATTGTTGATAATTTTGCTTTTTAAAATAATCGGCAGGTACCGATTAATCGGCCGATTAGTTACGATAATCGGCCTTTAAATAATCGGCCTCAGTAATCGGCAATTTTCCTTATCGGCTCATCCCTAGTTGTGAGTGACAACCTTGTAGCAACTTGATGAAAAAACAACATTGTTACAACTTCTTAACAAGCTTGCTACAATTATTATGTTAATGTGGTCGATAAGCTGCTTCATTGTACAACAACTCCCTTCCTATTTGCAGGCTTGCAGTTGGGTTATCATATTTTTTACAGTAATTTAATTGAACTCACTAAGCTAATATAATTACTGTATTAAAACCTCCAGATGTAACTTCCAACAAGTTACAAAAAATTGAAAGTAACTTTTTAACTGGTTACAAAAATCGTGAAGTTATTTTTGTAACGAAAACTAGTTACACTTGTTATGTGTAACCTTTAGCCGTACTGGTTCTTTTTTCGAGCATGTCACTCTCACTAGTTCCAAAAATTACTTTTTGGAATGTTGTAAGTTGCAGCAAAGATTGCCCAATGAACATCACATGGACTTTAACTTGAGTGTAGAATCTGTTTGCTTATAAACGTGGCAAACACACTTCAATCAAGCATTCATGTTTGTTTCCTAGAACCCAGCTTTATTTCAATAATTCTAACATTAACAACGACAACATCAATCCAATAATAATACATTTTGGTCCAGTTTTTCTCTGAAACATTTCGAAAAAAGGTCATTCATCACCATCGAGTGACGCTTGTTCCAATAGGTCGCAACTCCCGTAAGGGCCCGTTATCTATGGCGGGGTGTCATCGAAGAGAAATTTTTGTTGTTGGTAAAAAGTTTCCTGATCCAACCATTAAAAAGTCATTTTTTTACCCAACCTCAAATATCAATTTAAAAATAAATACCCACCCCTGGCCAAAAACGTTACAAAAGAATACCGCTCAGTTGTCACACATGTCCTTTACCACTTCTGTGACCACGAGTTTGATAACTGCTTGTGCAATTTTCTGCAGCCTACAATTTCACGTTGTCTTCACATGTACTTTCTTTGGAGACACCATTTGCCTCCTGACAAATCGGAAAATGGTCAAGATAGTGACTCTGATTGATTCACATATTGTATTGACATGTGACTGTTGACATTGGTTTTTAGTCTTCAATATTTCAGTGAGTCATGCTTCGGAAATGACAATATTTTGTTATCACCCAACCCTTGAGTTTTGTTTTTCATTTACCCCACCTTTTACTTTCTCATTGGGAGTAGGGGCCCCTGAAACCAATTTTCTCCGAGCCCCCGAAAAAACTCTCAGCGGCCCTGCTTGTGTGGACGGAATGTTGTTAAATATTTATCTCACGTGATGTAGTTACAATGCTACCTTTTGTTTGGAAAAACGAAAGAAATATTTCTTGTATATTTGTGAAGCTTTCCTTGGCGGCCGTACACACGGCAAAAAATTGAAAAAATTCACATGCAAACGCGCATATCAACTCTCAAGTCTGGTTTCCATATGGTCGTGATGGGCGTAAAAATAGAGTCGAGACCTTTCGCAACGGCCAGTTTATAATATCCTCGTTTGACTCATCAACTCTCATACCGCATTGGTATATTTACTTATATACAATGCGTTGTAGCCGGGCTGCAGTATCGAACATACCTTTATTTTCTTTTGTATTGACTGTTCCTTATCTTTCTTTCTCTCCTCTTCAAGACGTTTAGTTTCGGCCTCCATACTTTTCTGTCGGTCCTGTAAGACGATAACGGTCTTACAAAAACTCATAGCGATAACCAGTTTACCTAAGGGTGGATTTCCACTTACAGACAAATATTTCGTCGTCGATTGCTGACCATCAGATGTGAATTTATCAGTTCTACAGCTCACAATTTCGACAGCTCACAATTTCGACAGCGTAATTTTTCTTGCAAGTGGGAATCCGGCTAATTGAACAGAAGTATTTCGTCTGCGAAATTTTTCTTGTCAATGGTGCTTTCTTCCGTTCCTGGTTAGGTCTTAAATTGTGTATATATATGGTCACTTGGACTATCCACCAAACCAACCATTCACATTATGTATACGACGACAG